GTCTGGGGCAGCCCTTTCGCATCTCAAACCTGACAAGCGCATTCGCGCTCGACGTCCTGTCTCCGCTTCGACATCTCGTCTCTGCGTCCTGCGTCAGCAAGTGGCCACCGCGGTTTGCGCTGAGCCCTTGTCGAAAAGTTGCGCCATCGTGTGCGCTTCGCCGTCGTTGAAGAACTGCGCCTCCTCGAAGAACTGTGAGCCGTCAAAGAGCAGCGCCATCGTGTGCGTTGTGCCCTCTTCAGGGTAAAGTGTTGTTCTGCCTGCCCTCGTGTAAGGCATGTTTGTCGGCCCATGGGAGCGGCCGCGTCGCGCCACCTGTTTCAAGTTGCGGGGACGGAGGGAAAGGATGTCGGTGACATTGGGCCACATGGTTTCTGTGTCCCCTTCTGATTCCCGCTCGTTCTTTCCTCGCGAGCGGCCCCGTGATTCTTGCTTGCCATCATCATCATCATCATCATCGCCCCCATCATCACCATCATCATCGCCACCACCATCAGCGTCATCATCTTCATCATCATCATCATCATCACCATCATTGTCATCGTGATCATCATCATCTTCATCAACATCATCATCATCATCAACAACACCATCATCAACCTCGTCAACGTCATCAACATCGTCATCATCATCGACATCATCATCAACATCATCAACGTCATCAACAATATCATCATCATCAACGACATCGTCTCCGTCATCAAAATCACCACCATCGTCCTCTTCGTTGTCATCGCCATCATCAACATCGTCATCATCATCGTCATCATCATCATCGTCGTCATCACAATCATCATCATCACGAACATCATCATTGACATCATCATCGTCATCAACATCGTCATCATCGTCAGCGACACCGTCGCCCAGATCAACATCACCACCGTAATCGTCACCATCATCGTGTTCATCACCGTCGTCATAATTATCATCATGTCGTGCCACGTGTCGCAAGTGGCTGGGACGGTGGGAACGGATGACGTGGACATCGGGGCACACGGTTGGCGTGTCCCGTTCTGCTTGAAGAGAAACTGCCGTTGAAGAAAAACTGCCCCCACGCGACCGCCCCCACGACTCTTGTTTGGCTTGGCATTGAAGAAAAACTGTCGTTGATCACAAGCTGGACATTGCAAACCACTCCCGCGCGGTCGAGGCAAACACGAAATCGCCTATTCCCAGCGGAACACGAAACCCCTTCGAAACACTTCCCTCGCTCGTTTGCTGTTCTCAACAAAGAGATTAGAGGTTGGTTATCACAAAGGAGACGCATAGGCTGCGCGCGACCGCTGTTGGTACTAAGCGTCACGCGGTGGCCACGGTGGGAAGGATGTCCGCCGTCCACGTGGCGTGCAGTGAGAGGTAAGGTATTCATAAACAGGAGGGGGTCGGCGTTCCGTGTTCGTGTTCTCGCCGCAACAGTTGAGCCTCCCTCCCCAAAGAGACTATGGCGTCAATCCCGGGAAAGTTGCTGTCGTCTCCATCCCGCGCACACAACGTGCACATGATCCACCATAGAGGCCATGGATGTTGAGCGCGCGCTCCTGGCACTGGTCGTGAGGGATGCGATATCGCATTCCGCATGACAAATGCCAGGACTGTGCGCGCAACATCCTCGGGCTCCAGAACGAAGAATGCACACGTTGCGTGCGCTCGATGGAGAACGCCTGCGCCGCTCGCTGCAATGACGATGGCGTTTCTTCGGCGTGAGCGCCGCATGTTTCGTGACAACAACCTCGACACAAAAACATGGCCTCGTTCAGTAACGAACAATCCGGCCGCCTCCGGGAAACGTCTCAGTCATCTGGGCAAGGGGGGTCGCCATTATCACCGCAAGCTCGAAACCAACAACAACCAAACGAAAAACGGCGCGTGGCGTGTGGTTGCCTGGCGAGATGGGAAGTTCGGATCCCGGCGAACTACATCAATCATGCGCAGTGCTCTTGCGAAGGCAGCAATCTGTTGCCGTCGCGCGGCCGCAGGGAGAGCACGCGCAGGTGCGAAAATAGCGCATGATTGCTGTAGTTCGCCGGGATCCGAAGTTCCCATTCTTTTGGCGGTTGTTGGTTTCGCGTTCGCAGTCACAATGCCATCCCGGGTTGCCCTGATGACTACGTTTTGCGGGACACAGTTCCCATCTTTCGGGCGTGGGGTCGATAGTTCATAACGCCATGCCAGTTTTCAGCATGCGACGAAGTTCGGATCCAGGCGGACTTGCAATCTGAAGCATGCGAAGTAGCGGGCTGCTCGGATGATTATTGTTGTTTCGACCGCGTCGCTGGAATAAGACGCTTACGGTTTGCATGGATCCTTTCAGAGTCCTGGTTGCATGACTGTTCTTTCGTTGGCGTTGCCGCAAAAAAAAAAAAGTCCTACCAACGGGACCCCAGCAAAAACAAAGTGTTTAATGCTCCCGGTCGAACGCGGCAACCGATCTGAAGTTCGGATCCGGGCGGACTTCGTGGTTGGCACCCATACGTGGTCCCATGAACCTGGCCGTGGAACCTGCCATTGCCCGAATGCGAGCTCGCCTTGTCTGCGGTACTAATCGGGGGTCCACCAGCCGTAGTCATTTTGTTTTTGTGCTTGCAGTCATTGTCATCAAGGATGGCAACATTTGCGACTAGATCGCCGCAAGTGCTCGCTTTGTCAATGAGGACAATCGGGGTCCATGGGGGTCTATTGGGGGCCGCGCTGTGCCAATTTCCGGCGTGGTGCACCTGCGACGACTATTTCTGTTCTGCGTGCTCCGTTGGAACAAACACTTGTGAGCAGCAGCAGGGCCTCCCTGAACATGCAGCCAAGCCTAGCGTTCCTTCTGTGCAATTCCACACCGGTCATCCAAATATCCGTCGTCCCCCACGCAAACCGGTTCCTGGCCAGTCCAGCAAGCGCCAAGTTCGGATCCCGACGGACTTTGAGGTCCCGCGTAAATTTAACCACCGTTTTCGACGGCCACGAATGTCGAGTGCGTTCTGATTACCAGAGGCCTCCGGGCATGCAAAAGTGCTCGCATGAGGCCCGGAGCTTCAAGTGTGAGTTGATTGCATGAGGACTGTGGGTGCGAAAAATTGCTCACCTTCTGAGATGCCCTTCGAGGGGTTTGTGGGGGTTGTCGACGGTGATAGCGGTCGTGTCCCTTGTCTGTGTGCCGTCGATCTTTGTTGCCCCCAGAGGGTTTTGACCGTCCCGGTGCGCGGATTCTTGTTGCACACATGCTCGTGTTTCTGTGTGGTTTCCGGTTCGCGCTTTCGCACGTCGACGTTACCGGCGCGCGAATCGGGGGTCGCCTTGTCGACTGGCCGAATCAGGGTTTGGAAGGGTTGCAGGGGGGGTCTTTCATCAGTTTCTACATTTTTCTTGTCTGCGCGGTTGGGATGTCCGATCCCGATGAGCTCTTGCACAAGAGGTCAGTTTGGGGTCACGCTGCGCCCGATTTTGTGGTGGTGCATCCACCGCTGCCCTTTGCTCTGCGCGTGCTGACGTTCAACGACAGCTCGAGAGCGACAGAGCCTTCCTTCTGTGCGGCCAAGCATAGCGTTCCTTGTGTGCACCCGCCGGCGCTCAGTTCCACTGACACCGGCCGCGCAAAAAAAAGTTCCTTGCTACTCCAGCACCGGCCAAATTCAGATCCCGGAGGACTTCGAGGCGCCGCATGAATCTGACCGTTGTTTTCAACGGCTTGGACTTCTCCGTCCGTCTTCAATGCCGGCGGCCTGGTATTGCGCAAAATTGCTCGCCTTGTAAGTTGCCCTGAAAGGGGTTTATTGGGGTTGACGACGGTGTCGCTGGCCGGGTCCATTTACAGTGTGCCGTGGATCTTCGTTCATCGGCGCCCCAAAATGTGGTGCGCCTTAGCAACGCCTGCTCTGTGCAAACGCCATCCACCCATTACAAATGCAGGCGAATCCACCAAGTTCGGATCCTGGCGGACTTCGAGGATCGACGCGAATCTATCCGTCCTTTGCGTGGCGCCTGGAGCTTCGAGTGTGAGTTGATTGCGACAAGACTGTGGGTGCGAGAAATTGCTCGCCCTCTGAAATGTCCTTGAAGGGGTTCATTGGGGTTGCCGAAAACAAGGGACACGACCGTTGTCACCGCCGGCGACCCACATTAACCCCTTCGAGGGGATTTATGAAGGTGAGCAATTTTTCGCGCCCATGATCTTTGTTGCCCTCCAAGGTTTTTGACCGTCGCGGTGTGCAGAGTCTTGTCGCAGAATCGGGGGTCGCCTTCTCGACTGGCCGAATCAGTATTTGGAAGGGTTGAAGGGAGGATCTTTCATCCTTTTCTACATTTTTCTTGTCTACGTAGTGGGGATGTCCGAGTTCGATAAGCTCTTGCGCTAGTACCTGTGAATGGAAAACTGCACGAGCTCGCTTAGACGATGGTGAGAATCGAGTTTATGGGGGTCAGTTTGGGGTCGCGCTGCGCCGAATTGTGTGGTAGTGCATCCACCACTACCCTTTGTTCTGCACGTGCTATCGTTCACCGACAACAGAGCCTTCCTTCTGTTCGCCCAAACATAGCGTTCCTTGTGTGCACCCACTGGCACTACCTTCCACTCACATAAGCCGCGCGAAAACAGGTTCCTTGCTACTCCTGCACCCTCCAAATTCGGATCCTGGCGAACTTAGAGGCTCCCCGTAAATCTGACCGTTATTTTCTACAGCTTGGACTTCCCAGTCCGTCTTCAATGCCGGCGGCCTGGTAGTGCAAAAAAGTGCTCGCCTTGTGAGTTGCCCTGAAAGGGGTTTATTGGGGTTGACGACGGTGTCACTGGCCGGGT